GCTCTCGGTGTTTCCCCCCCCCCCCCATCAGAGACAAATAAACACCTTGGGCCAAATCAACGCCACCATATGGACCCGGGTGGCTTTTAATGAAGCAGCTAAATAGCGGGTGAGCGGGGACTTTGCTAATAGCTCCTTGTCAGAGCAGCGGTAAATACCCCACTCGCACAATTTCTTCAATCGTTTGGGTGCCCGAAACAGACGGCAGAGCTGACAAGGAACATCTGCGGCTCATTTTTCTCACATGAGCGTTCCCACCACAAAATGCAACCATTTTTATTTCCATTGCTTTGATTGAGATGTTTACGTCTTTGAAGCAATTTTCTAGCGGCGGGCCATGAACGGAACGTTTGGAACTCAGACCGAATAAATGGGGGGATGAACGCGAGCTAAAAGCTGCTCGGTAGGCCAGAGATCCGAGACGGGTTTTGATTCTTTGCCCCGTTCTGATCTGTATGGACGTGTGCTTAGCAAAATGTTTGCGATCGGAGCAACCAATGAGTTATTTTTGCCTGTCACTTATGGAGGGATTTTGCATGAACTTTAATGGAGATGAGATGAAGTGCTCAGAATTGACGGTTGCTCTTTAAAATATGGACAAAAGGTGGCGAAAAAACAATGCTGGAATATACCTCCAATCCTCTGCGCTACACGTTGACATAACCTGGCAATCTTAAGAACAAAACATGACCAAATGAATGCCATATATATATCAATACTCATGAAAACATTCTTCGGATCTAACATTTATAAGGACTAACGGGATATGGATGAAAATATATATGCTAGGACAAGCTAGCATAATGACATGGTAGCGATCCTCGTCGTTAGAAATGCGCCTTTTTCGACACCTTTGAGGAGAGCGTTTCTTCTTTATTCCGTATGATTCCAAATTCCGCACAGGCGCCAACTCCAGATCTGCCAAAAATCTGCATAGCAACTACAGTAGAAGCGCAGCCGACGGCGCATGCGGCGTCCCTTGAAAAGCAGATCATCTCAGAAGGGAGCAAACAAAGTTTTAAACGGTTACAAATCGTGTTTTCTTGCTGGCTGCCTCCGGACTGAACAAACTCTTCAACCAAGTCTAATAAAGTCCATATTTGGGACATTGGCCAACAAAAAAAAAACAAACACCAAATAAACTTGAGGAGTCACATCACTCAGTTCTCGTGAGTTTCTTCCCAACAAAATCCAGACGTACTGAGCATTCTGCACAATATAACGCCATTGAGTTTTATGAACTCCACCGTCAATTGTGGAATCTTTTTCAAACGCTGGGCAAAGCCGAATCATCCTTGGGTTGGACTGTAAATCCCTCATCCTGCACGCTGAGTCTTGCTGTCTGAGTCTTATCGGCAAGGCGCATCAGCGCGGGGAAAGACGTTTGCCCGCATATCCAAACATCACAAACCAAGATGCGTGGTGATCAAAATCACCACAAGGCTCCTTTGTTGCCCTCTCTGAAATCATGTCAACTAAAAAAAAAAAAAAAAAAGTGTTTTCTTATTTCACAACTCACTTCCCGTTTCAATTTTAGAGCTCCCGCAGATGTCATTCCTCCTCACTTTGGACAAATGTACGACAGCAATTCTCAGAAGAAGGGGCTAAGAACGCCAATGCGAAAGCTGGGACTCAAACGCAGCAGGTCCTCCGAGCTCCGACAGCGGCTGCGGTTACATGAAGCCGCAGCGTTACGGGCGCGAGACGCAAGCATGTCGGGAACACGGAAGGTCAGAAAGGGGAAGGACGGCTTTCATAATGGCGCTCGCCTACATTATGCGGCTCGGGTCGGATGAAAGTTGTGAATGAGAAAGGGACACAGTCATTGAGAGTTACTCATTTATTTCGCTGCCTTTCTCTCGAGACAAAGTCCAGGCGGGGTGCCGTGCCGAAAAACCGCCACTGGGTGCCCCCGTAAGTGACGGTACTGCCCCGGTTTTGACCCTGACAACGGGTTCCCTTCGCGCCGCTTAACCTGAAGCTTACGACCAAAAAGTGTGTGACCTCGGCATGTGTGGATCGCTCACAAGACCCAACATCATGCTGCGTCTTGGCCACCTCTGTATGCGCCCCGATTGTCTGGCCCAGCTTGAGCCGGGTGGAGGGAGGTAAAGACGGGATGGGGGCGGGGGCGCATGGCAGCCAAGAATCCAGACTTGGGAACAATTTGAAGGCCAAGAGAGAAGGGACGAGAGCCAGGGAGCGGAACCAAGAGCGCTTATCAGCAACAGATATCTGCCTTTTATCTAACTACGACATTTGCGTCGGTATCTTCAACATCCTGTCGACGCATGGGCTAAAAAGCAAGCTGTCGGCATGGGTTGCCTTGGCTTGAGAACACACGGTGGCTGCCTCGCTGTGCGTTTTGACAGTAAATCTCATCAAGCCAATTTCTGGTTCTTGAGAAAAGGTGGACATTATTTGTCAACGCATTGGCTTTGTACGGCACCTTTCAGGGAACTGGGGGATACTTTCGAGACCAAGCAAAACAAATAATCCCAACGAATTACATATGGACTCAAAGATAGATCGAGAGATAGTGAAACAATGTCTTTGCACTACTTTTAAGGGACACAAAACATCTAAAAAAAAAAAAAGGACTCGTCTCATCAATGAGATTCGAGTAGATGAGAGCCGACATTATTACTCATCCGACCTACTGACGCACGTTTCACGCACCTCGCGCGTGTTTGGTTTTCAAATGTGAAGTGGCGCAAAGCAGAATGTTAAATGTGTCCCGGTGCGTAAAGGCGCACAGGTATGAAAAAAAACGGTATTGTGAGTCAGCTGTGAATAAAATGCACACTTTTCAGCAAGAACAGTGCTTTGAGGGGAATATGATTCATCAGATGAGTTCGGGGGAGGGGGGGGGGGAGAAAAGCAGCAGATCGCGTTTCCAATCGCTGTGAGTTGATGATGATGATGCGATAATTCTACCGGCAGGATATCAACATTGTTTTGCGTGGTTGCAAATTGGTTTTGTTGGAGATGAAGCAAAATGTGTCAGTCACTCTTGCATCTCCACCGGGTTCTGTCAGCGCGTCGGTGCGCCCGCGTACAAGGAAAGCCGAGCGGGGAACACTTACTTGGGGTTGGTGCGGTTCCAGAAGACGGCGTAGCGGTCGGACACCACTTTGGAAGCCGGGTCCTGAGCGCACACCCCGACGACGATGACGAGAAAGAACAGCATTTCCACATGCGGCATGTTTGCGACGAAGCCAAAGCGACGGCAGTCCCGGTTTGATTTCAAGGTTCTGACGGATGTGCTTGCAAGTCAAGTTCGTTTAGCCCCTGAAGTTACTTCATACGTCTCCGTCTCTCCGATAAAATTGTCCACTGCCCTTTTTTTTTTCCTTCAGGAAAAGTAACAGAAAGTAAATTTAAAGGAAAAAGCCAGTTTCCATCAACTCAACTCAGTTTGTCCAATTTGCGCTGCAAAAAAAAAAATCCCTGAGAGGAGGCGCGTTTGTGAGCGAAAAAAAAACAGAGGGCAGAATATCACGTTAAATGCTCCACTTGAATCGAGAGAAAGAAAAAAAAAGGGAAATAGAGTCCTTATGCTGCCATCGTCGCTGGAATCTTCGGAGCTGAGGATCTCTCGCCGATGTTCCTCACCAAGAAGCTGACGAGAGTAACGACCACTAAAAGCGGCAAACGGCTCAACGCGTGGATGCAAATTGAAAAAAAAAACCACAAACTAGTCCTCACGATCTTTCACCAACACGCAGGCAGGCTCCGCGCTGGAACGTCCACGGACGGTGTCGCACGGATCGAGCGCGGGCGAGAGGCGGTGTTAGCAACCAGAAAGGAAGCAGACCAAGTGTGCGCTTCGGATTTTGCAGCCATGCTCCCCTGGACCAACCCCACTACCCTCCCCACCCTCACCTCCCCCCACTCTCGCGCACTCCCTCTCCCCTACTCACTGTTGTAGCAGCCGCAGCCCGCTGCAAAAAGTGTCCACATCCTCCGGGTTGTTACTATACCGCCGGCTCATCAATTGACGTCTCCAAACTGAAATCGGAGGTTTCCCAATGAAAATAATGCGCTTGTGAATTCTTTGAAACCCTCGCGTGCAGAAAATGCATCTCCGTTGTGTGTGGTTTGAAGCATCCCCGGTGAGTTTTTGCAGCGTGCAGGTTCGAGCGTGCACGTTTTGATTTGGGATGACGGCGGTCTTATTTACAAGAGCAACATCGTTCGTTGCGGGGCGCGTCTCAGATTCCCGAACGGATCATATCGCGAACATGGAACCACAACGAGCCTCTTTTTTTGACAGCCTCCTCTTAGCACAACAAGGAGGTAAAGTTCCAATTTTTGTTTTCAAAGCTCGGCTTCCATTTGCGTTTTACGTTTCTTTTCACAAGTGGCACGCTGGCGCCTTTTAAAACGTTCCCTTTTGTTGGAAAGTTAAATATAAGTCAACAATCACATGACAATTTTTTTCATACATATGTGCAGTTGCTTTTCCTTTTCCACCCTGAAAGTCTCAAGCTAGTTAAAAATAAATACTCTCTACCACACCCCCACCCCCACACAAACGGGTTCATATATTTATTGGTTATTCCTTTAAGGGTTTGCCTTTTTCTTTCTTTTCCTCGCTGCATGTAATATTGGTTTCAGATCTGTGCAGCTTGACTGCGGAACGTCGCGTTTGCTCCGCGACTCACTGCGCCGCGCAGTGGCGACCATGGAAACAGCATCTTGTGTGAAATCCGCAAATTGCTTTTCCTCACTGAAAGGGATACTGGATTTAAGTCTCCCTTCACTGAATGGCAGAATAAATTGTGTTTTGTAAAATACACTTAGTTGTGAAATACAATAAATGTATTTTGTTTGGGGTAAAAAAAAAAAGAGAGGCGGTAGTTAAATGCTGGGTTTGAACCTCAGCTCACTATTTTGCGTGTTGTTCCTGCAGGAGTGATGTGGATTTTTTTTTTTCCTGGCACACCAGTTTCTTCCCAAATTCCTAAACATACTGGTTAACGATGTAAATGTAAACGTTGCTGGTGACCAATCCATGGCGTCAGCCGGGATAGGCTGTAGCTCACCCGTGACCCTAATCAGGACCAGCCGACATTCCCCTCATCTGGACAGTGAACAGAATTCCCCCCCCCCCCCTGAGTAGCATTGACGGCCGCTTGCCAAAGGAACCAACTTGTCCTGCACACTGATGCTTCATTCCAAGTAATGCGGGTGACCTTTAATAAAGCGCCATCTATCGAGTTGACCTCCGCTGTCATCGTTTTGGCATTCAGAAGTCGTGATCTGACTGAATGCATGAGCCAAAAGAGTTTATGAAAATACGTGCGGTTTCATATTTATGGGCACGTTTCAGCAATGTGAAGTCAAATTGAAAGGGATTTGGTAGATTGGCGCAGACACTTTATAAACCCCATGCGATGCGGACTCCGACAACGAATGAGATCCAGTTCAAGAGCTGGAACATCAAGTCAGCCTTTAAAAGTAATTCTCCATTTAGTTTGACACTGTTCGGGAGATTCTCATTTAAAAATAGGTTTGTTATTGTGAATTTTCTGACCTCTCAAATTCCCACGCACACACCAAAGTCAAAATGTCCCCACAAGAAACGATTATCACTATTAATGTGGTTTTTCAGTTCCTGTTGTGGCTGGCAGTCCTCATCCTTTTGTCCGTGCTGTGTTGAGACAATGAATACCATGAGGAAAAAATAAAAAACAAGAGCAGTCGGAGTGACTGACAGACAAAAAAAGTATTTTAAAGTCTACCGAACATCCTAAACACAAAAGCGTATCAGCTCACGTCACGTATGAACAGCCGACCCCAAAGAGGCCGCAATCATTTCAATCACAGAGACAAAAACGTGTTTGGCTTGACCCGAAAGCCATCACGATCCGCTTTGTTTACAGTAAATTACGCTTCACATTGCGTTTGTTTGGGTGTCGGCTGGTGTGCGTGTGCTCGCAGACGCGCGCCTGTCACGTACATGCATACACAGCGAGTACACACAAGCGTGCGGCCCCGAGACTTGATGAGCTTGCATGCGTGAGTCTTTTGTGTGGCGAGCGTGCGTCGTGTGCGAACACGGGGGGGGGGCCGATCGTCCGGCTCGATATGGCAGACCGTCGCATGAGCAATAATCACCTCATCTCCCCTGCCAAAGTGGCTGTCCTACTTCATTTATGCCTGCTACACGTCTGTGTTCCCCAAGACAATGGAGTCGTTCTAAATTAGGGTCAGTGGGTCTGCCGGCACCAACCGCAGCCGCGCATGCCAATGTTTCTCATGGCCTTACGATCGGGGCGTCGCACTCACGAGAGCAACGGGAGCTCCGGCTGGAGTGCAGATGACATGAAGTTGAGGAGAGACGGCAACCATGTGGCAGTTTTTTTTTTTTAATGTGTAATAATCCATTTATGTTGTGACAGTAGCCTCGAATGGCCTCAATTAACATCCATTATTTACTCATAAGCAAAAGGTCATCACGTTCTTTGTTGAAAAGCACGATGCGTTCATATTTCAATCGCTGAAGCAAGACATGTTTCTCGCTTTATCCCCACATAAGTTCGTCACGCGTATGATTCCACATTACAAGCACGATGACATTTTGTTCCTCAGCAAGGTCGCGGCGGCAGTTAGCTTCCCACAGTCCGGTGTCACGAAGGCCTTTTCATTATTTTGTGGGGAAAATCTGGTCGTTTTAATGACGTTGAGGATGTAAAGGTGTTCGGTGTAAGCAAAATCGGCAAATGGAGAATGAATGACGTGAAGTCGGGATTTGTAAGTCTTCAGTCGCCTGATGTGGCTGCCGGCAAGCGGCTCCATTGGGCTGCTTTGGAAAATGGTTCCATGACAAATATAGCATTTATTTTATTGTATGCCAGCTCAGCAGTTTAGCGCCGCCGAGACGCAGAAATTCCTTGTTTCCGAAAACAAGTCAGCGCAATGTTGAAATGGCGAATCGGCGAGAAACATCAAATTCAAGATGTCTCATCTGTCAAGCATGAAAATAAGAGACAAATAAATCTATGCTAGCCTCATACAGGCAAAAAAACATTTGAGTCGGTATATTCACTGGGGGGTGCGGCCGAGTGCCGCGTATGGAGTGAGAACTAATCATAAAATATAGCTGCAGAGAGACATCTGTGTTGGGTCGGTAACCAGCCTGAACTGAAGATCGGTTGACTTTTTGTTGACTGGAAGCTTTTAAAAAGTTTCCAGGGAGAAACAAATCAAAGATTTCTATTGGGCCGCCTGTCGGTTACATTCTGATGAGTCATGCATTTCCCTTTCTGTCTGTTTGACTCAAAAGTCCTTTTGACTTCCTTCTACTTGCTCTGGTGTCTCGGGTTTCCCATTTTCCAACTGCTTGTGATGCTATCGCCGCGTCCTCGCGGAAAAGTAAACGTGCATCTCGCTGACATGGGATCGGTTTACCCCTCCATCTCTCTTCTTCAACTCATGTCGAAAAGCTGCGGCGTGACACTTCCCGGCTGGTCTCAAAGGACGCCGGCGTTATAAATAATCGAGGGGAATACGTTCACGTGATCGATGCAGATTCATGAGGAATAGTGAGCGGTGCCTCGGGAAAAAAGGACAGCAGGACGTGTGGGACCCAGAAAGACGTGGGAGGTCTGAGATATTCCCGTCCAATCTGCACTCGTGGTCACGTCTGGCACCTGGTTGAACTTCTTTTTTGTATATATGACCTCCTGCAAACACAAACACTGCAAACTCACACATCCACACAAAAGCCGTAGAGTGTGTGTAAACTCACACGCACACATACAAACACCCACACGCGCACACACACACTTCTGAGCTTCGTCCATGTTTTCCGAGCAACGTAGCAAAAGTAATGTCCACGACTCAGGGAGCTTGCCATGCTAACAGCCTTTGCCACTCAGGGCTGTTGACAGTGGAATCTTAACTATGCAATAGTTCGGGGTGGGGGGGGTCTGTTTCACCAGATTTGTACATTTTGATCATTGGCATGCAGAATATGAGCAAGTATGGCTCCTCTGACCCTGTTGCCTCATCAACGTGGTCAACCAGGGTGGCCCAGTTCCAATGTACTTTGTCAAAGTGTCGCAAATACTCGTGTGTGATTGGTGAGTTGATGCCGTCAAAATGTTCATTTCAAGTCCGACGCGCACCTGAAGCACTCAAAAGTTGGCGTGAGTTTGTTTGGGTTGTGATAGCAACCAATCATTCAATCACCGAAGCATGCCCTCGGGGTATAGCCCGTTGCCCTATCGTTGACCACCACCCACCCCCCACCCCACGCCCTCGAATCCTTCACTGTTTAATTTCAGTGACCCCGGCATCAGCCAGGAAGTGTCTGTAAACGTGTCTTCGCACCTGAAGCACTCAAAAATTGGCGTGAGTTTGTTTGGGTTGTGATAGCGACCAATCATTCAATCACCGGAGCTGCCCTCGGGGTTGAGCCCGTTGCCCTATCGTTGACCACCACCCACCCCCCACCCCACGCCCTCGAATCCTTCACTGTTTAATTTCAGTGACCCCGGCATCAGCCAGGAAGTGTCTGTAAACGTGTCTTGTGCTGGGCCAAGTGCTCCCTCGGTTGACCAAACTACCTCACATTGACACTTGGGTCTTTCTTTTGGCTGAAAATAAATGCCAAACCTGCATAAGGATTCGATGACCTTTCTCAGCCCCCCCTCCTGTGTGGCCCAGAATTCCTGCAGAACTGAACCAGCCTGACCCAAAGTCACAGCTGTGGGTGACCTCTCCAGAGACAGCGTGAGAGCGTGTCATTTCAACAAGCAGAAACAACCTGGACGAGTCAACCGCTTTGGCGCGGAAGCTTCAATACTTCAATTGCCTTCCCTGGATGATTGCCTGTTTTTATCTTTTCAATCAATCAGATTGGCTTCAATCGCAAATGACTCAACATCCTGAAAGCTGTTCACTTTTTAAAGACTTTTTAACGATGAGCGGTACGAATCCAATTGGCAGATTGACCTCTGTCATTAGCCTGATTGATTTGTGTCTGCAGATGTGGTCGCTGCCACCAAATTCTGGAAGTGTCTTGCAAACAT